ATTATCCATTAATGATTAAAGCAAAAAATGAGATTAGGCACAATCAAAATTTGGAGCATTGAATTAGAAGAGGGGATTCATTTAAATGTGTTCCAAATGAGAAACAGTTTCCACCTCCTCCAATACACACGACATTGCCATCATCCATTAAATGTGAAGAGTGACCATGTAACAATGGAAGAGAGATGGTTGGGGGATACTGTAGTGTTATGACATAAAATTAGACCATTAGCAATGGAAATTACCTTTAAATTGACACCTTGCCAAGTTCTGTTCTGCATATTGACAATGACAATGTCACTTTGATGCTGAGAGATTGATACACCTCCAAACATTAAAAGCACATCATTTGAAATGATGTGACCACTCATGGAATATCTATTAATACAATCATCAAAGAAAATGGTTACATACTAGTTATACTTTGCTGGTAGCTGAGGAATGAATTCTACTGCCATCAAATGACTTTTATCTTCACTAAGTTGAAGGCAAGTGCTCACTGGAGATAAATCAGCATTCAAGCCACCAAAAATGAGGACAGAAGATTTATAATTCACTGCTAAATGAGAGTGTCTACCCTCGGGCAAAGAAACTGGTAACTATATAACATAAATATATACAGGCATATCATAACTCAAACTTCTATTGATTGTACTTTCTTCATTGTCCAATCTATGGAATCAAGTAATAAAATGTCAGAAAATACATGTCCATTCACAGCACAGCCTCCAATGATCACTAGCCATCTATCATTTACGAGTGTAGTGGAGTGACGCCATCTTCCTTTAAAACAATCGCCTAATGCATAAACATATAAATATCAAACCAAAGTCTCTTTATCACTTAACCTTTATACTGAATGATCCTCCAGTTACATTCTGTTCCACAGGAAGAGAGTGAGTACAAAACCTCATTTGAATGTTTGGGAGATTTCCTACCACCGATAAGAATGACTTCATTGGATTTTGGCAGTAATGTCATTGAATGATACATTAAAGGTCCTAATAACAAAGAATTCAAATTTATATCAAGGCAGGGTTTCCCACAAAGCATGCTAATAAGTGAGCAAAACAGCACATGAGCTGACAAGTACATGACTTTTAAGCATGTTTACAAATTTGTAAAAATCCAATTTTGATCGGCCAGCTGAAAGTTTCTACATAACATAAGAACATGTATATGTATTAGAAAAATTATTAAAATGGAGAATTCTTTCCTAGTCATTTTTGGCAAACTTTGGCCTAATGACCCTGTTACTATAGCACTGGGACTTTGGCCCAATTTTTGAGTAACTTTAAAAATTTATTTTTTGCTAAAAATTTCTAAAAAACAAAAATATATGCATCAGAATAACTTTAAAATAAAAAAATTCTTTCCTAGCTATAATATAGTAAATGATCTTTTGTGAAATTAAAAATGTACTGGCAAGGTGTTAAGCACTATGCCAAAATCTTTTTTGGAAACTCTATATAATGGTTAGTGTGCAAAGCCACTCTAACTAACCAGGTCCATCATTTCCAGCAATCAGTTCTTTTGATTCCCAATCCTCACCATTAGACTTAATCATTATAGCATTATCAAGACGACAATGAGCTAGGCTATGATCCTTTATTCCAAATCCACCATAAACCAATACCTTATCATCTTCAAATCTGACTGAATCATGGCCATACCTAAAGTATAGTAATAAATGAGAATAAGAAAGCGCAGTGTCCATTACCTTTTTAAATGCTGAGACTCAGTATGAAGATAGAGTGCCCTCCATTCCTCCAGTACATCACTAATGCCTTCATCATCATTATTACTGCTGGAAGATAAAGGGTCCATGATGCTAGACCAGTATTGAGGCGATGTGAATCCAGTGATCATGTGGTAGTGGCTACACTTTAAATGCCACTCCTCGTACTCGTCGAATGGCTCCAGTGACATAACGTGTTTACGTATTTCTTCTGGCAATGAGAAATACAACTGGTTCATATCACAAGAATTAACTTCAGACCAGCCCTAGAATTATAATGAAGCAACAATGGATTTCAGCTCTGTCTATTGTAATACTGTAATACTAATACTATGCATATGAATATGCATGTACTTACAGCATTTTCATATCTCTTGCACTGTGACTGACTAGTTGAATACATTTCAATGTTTAACAGTGGAGAAGACAATGTATGAAAATGCTTGAGCCTATACAGCAAAAATGAAATACTGTTAATATTATTTATAATTAAAAAAAATATTCTCACATGACTTGTCCAAATCCATCAAATGGCTTAATCTGTTCATATACACAAATAACTGCTTTACCAAAGAAAGAAGCAGCCCATTCTAATAGCTTATCAACACTATATTCACAATATAAAAGCTATAAGCTGTTACTCTCATTATGAAGCACGTACTATTTAGGCTGTATATACGTTAAAACCACTTCAGCAATCAACAGAGTTGAAGTATCCCCGTCAACATTAGCTCCCTTTAGTGAAGCTTCAAGATCTTTCAATTTAGTAATGTCACAGCCTATCAAGTCATAGTTGCTACCGATCGCTAGTTCTTTAATCTTTGGCACAGAGTCTATAAAATGTTGTTTTCGAGCTACAACAGAAGGATAGTCTACCTATAATTACAGCAATTACAATGAAATGGACTAAATAAATAAATAAATTAATTAATTAATTTAAATGATTTTTGAAAATTACATACTTCATAATAGTGGCACTTTTTGAGCAAGTCAACGTTCCCACATTCTGATTTTAATCTGAAAAATGCTGTATCAAAACCAGCACCCAAAGATATTACCTAATAAACAAATTATTGGCAATTAAAATTAAATGGACCAGCCACACCCCCACCTGATTGTCTTTATTCCCTAAATTAGTCAGAAATTCTATCAGTGTCTTATTAACAGCAGAATATCTTATCCAATAGCCCCAATGAATCAGAGGAGCCCGATTAGGTGACTTGTGGCAGCCGGTAAAGTATTTCAAATACGGATCCTTGTAGTACCCAACTCTACTGGTTGATACTTTGCTTAGTGTACTATTGTCATTGGTCCCTTGTACTTGCTGTAGAGTAAGGATAACCATACGAGAGACAGACAAAAGGGAGAAACTTACAGGAATGCTAGAGCCAGTTTTTAAACTATGACTGCTCATTTTATTCACACTATGTTCACACTTGGCCATTCTCAATCAAAAATAAATGAATAATAATTAATACAATAATTATTAATGATAATAATAATAGACACAATAAAGAGAGCCTAACAGCACAAAGTGCATAATGTGTGTAGGTTATAAAATAGGCCTCAATTAAGTTTTAATATGTGAAAAGAGTCCATCCAAAAAGCTAATCTGAATCTACATACAATCATGATACAAAGCTAATCTGAAAATGTGTTGCCCTATGAAAAAAAAAAAAGAAACGAAAAGTCAGAAAGAGAACAAGAAAGAAAATAACAAAAATTAAAACGAGTTATAATGATGTTTCTAAAACCTCTCCATCTTGGTTTTCTTCAGCTTCTTCCTTGATGAGATTCGCTTGTTTAGATTGCTGTTGCTGCTGCTGCTTCTTCTGAAACTTGATGTTTTCTTCCTTTACCTCTTCATCAAAGGAAACGCTAAGAGAACGATTAAGAGGCTCGGGTTTACGCCTTCCTTCGGTCTTACGTTGATAGAATAAGAGATAAGAAGCTGACGACTATAAAAATAGCAATGACAACAATAACATAAATGCATTTTAAAAATTAACAAAATTGACAACAAATCAATTTAATATAATGCTATAAATTATACTAGACTACACGTAGATGTTTCCTAAATGCTAAATGTAACTTTCTATCATTATTTTAATGCAAAATTTAACATTTAATGCTTTTTGCTTTTTACATGTACATAATGTACATTATATGAGAGAAATATGGTGTGTGCTGCAGCTGTGTAGAGTGATGGTTGGTGGTGAATGATAATATTACGTACACATATTGACTCAGGTGATGCCTCAGAGACATGACTATCATCAAAGCTGTACCACTTCCCATTATCTTTGTTCTTAGCATAAGCAGTATCTGTTACACAGAGAGGAATGGTAATACATTATGCTGCATTATAAAATACTAACAGTGTCCTCCTCCTAGCCCACCAAAGTGATTAGAAACAGCAAACAGATCATAGAGTGGCTGGGGCTCTTCTTGATTCACCACATAATCCGAGAGATCTAAATTCCTATTTAATATACATCATGTACACTGTAATCATTATTATTATTATTATTATTATTATTATTATTGCATTACAATTAGATAAAAGTAAAATATAGGAGAAGAGCCTAAGCAAGCAAAGGATTATATACATGTACAAGTCAAGATAAAAGTTGGCCTAAGAGCAGGGTTTCCCACAAAGCATGCTAAGTGAGTTTTAACAGCACACTTCATAAACATGGCATTTGGAAAATTCAAATTTGATCGGAATCAGCTCAACTTTTTTACACAATATAAGTACGTGCACATGTACACGCATCAAAAAAAAAATTACAAAAATGGAGAATTCTATTCTCGTAACTTTTGTCAAAATACCCTTGGCCCTAATTTTTGAGCAGCTTGAAAACCCACTGATAAGAAGCTGCATGAGCACCATGCTAAAATATAGAGTATGGTGGTATCTGCATAAAAACTTACTCGAGAGGGAACTCAACTTTTGACTCAATCTTGTTTCTAAAGTACCTGCACAACAAAGTACAATGAAAGTCATCCATCACGAGTGAGGGCCCTCATCTACTGTACCTGTTATAAGAGAATCTCTTGAGATGTATGACTAATATCTCGGGCATCTTCCACAGATCAAACTTCTTACTAGCTTGCACGTGCTCCTTGCACTGAGGGCAATACCAGGCATCATCCTCTCCAAGCACTTCTTTATTCACAAATAGATCCATACACCCGTACACTGTTATTGCCTTCTTGGGCTCTTTGGTTGCACTGCATGATTCATGGTCTTCATATGCCTATACACAAAGCACATGTACATCAATATTATGGTACTGAAGTATAGATGCCACTTACATCAGCTTCTTTTGTGTTGTAATAAGTCTCTTTATCTTCAAATTCCCAATCAC